AATGCTTGGAAATTGGATTATTTACTTTTCGTTTTCTCACTGGTTTCTTTATCAATGCTGTAGATAAATCGATGTTCCAGACATTGTCATCGGGTACTGATGGTACACTCTGCTTGCTGGTTGAGGTTTCATTTAATTTGAAATTTGGCAGAAGAAACTTACTCATGGCAGGGTTTTTCAAGTGAGAACTCGTCAATTCATCCAAGGTCTTGAAATCAGTCTGCACATCACCTATGGTATCCAAAGGATGATTTAGTTTTTCAAACTTAATAGGTCCTTTTTTGGCAGATTCCATTAAATCCTTTAAACTCATAGCTTTCTTTACGCCAGTCGGAACATTCTGATCAATTTTTTTTCTAAAAGCCCCTCTGGTACTATTAAGAGCATTGAGCTGGAGCCGCTCGAGTGATTTAGTTAAATTAAAATTAGGTTTAATTACCATTTTCTCGATTCCTTCAGAAATTGTTTCTCCAACAAGGTCATGTGTTTTTTCAAGAGAAGAAGCCAATGTTGTCTTTTTCTGAGGAGATATTTGCGATCCTTCTACAGATCGCCAGAATTCCATCTCATCCTCCTCTTCATTTTTCTTTGGATCATTTTTATTTGCATCAGTCCTAATGATATCTGGTGCAACCCTCAGTGGAATAAAATTTCCATCGAAACGTCCATCACAAAGATCTTGATAATCCATGGAGTGAGCATCCCTCTTTTCTGACATCTTTATTTTCAAATGTATATGAACTTTGAACTGATTAAATAACTGATACCGATTAATGTTTTTTTATTTTTTATGAGGATTAATATTCTATGTGGAAAAAAAGTCACATAAAAACAATACCATGTCAATCTAGATCACATAAAACTACGGTTACTAAGCATTGACCAGGTTTAATTGTTTTTTACAAAATTATATATATTTTTAAAATATATTCTCCATTAGTGATATTTGGAGTTTGAAAATATAGAGTCCTATGTTTTTATTATAGTATAAATTTATATTCAATCGCTTTGTTGTTATTAACTTCCCAAAGAAGAAATTTATGTTTTCATCAAAAAATCCGATTCGCTAATTTTATGTTTTCTCGACGTTTCAAGCCATTCTGAATCGAATGAGACCAAATTTGGAAAAAGTATGTGTGTGTTTTAATTTAAAAGCCATTCGATGTATTTCGATGAGAACTATTGTTTGTCAGTTTTGTGCGACGATCGGCCAAGCCGTTTCTTTATAATTTTTCGTCTACGTTGTAACCCGCAATTCTGAATCGATTTTGAAAATTCAAAAACCGTTCGAAAGATTCAGTTTTTGGTAGAGATCGGCCGGGCCGTTTTCTTGTAATAAGGTGTTAAACAATTTTTTTTCGTCGATTATTATTATTATTTTTTTGACGGTAGATAGTCTTCTAGATCATACTAAAATATTACGGCCCTACGACAACTCGTTTACCTTTAAAAATTCGTCAAAGTTTGCAAAAATTAGTATTATAGTCTTTTTGGCATTTGTCAAAATTAGAACTTTCATCAACGTTTGCTCAAAAACGCCTGAACCGATTTCAGAAATTTAAAAACCATTTGATGAATCTCGATGAGGATTATCGTTTCTCAGTTTTGTGCGACGATCGGCCGAGCCGTTTGTAATTTGGAAAAAAGTGTTAAACGTTTCCTCCACATTTAAGCTCATACTACCGAATCGATTTAAAAAATCAAAAACTGTTCGGAAGATATTATTTGGGAATGATAGTGATTAGTTTTAGGTGAAAATCTACCTAGCCGTTTTCTTGTAATTAACTGTTGAAAAAAAAATTTAAGTCGATTTTTATGGAACTTTTTTGGCGATATATATCATGGTCTTATAGAACTTACTAAAATATTACGGCCTTACGACAAGTAGTTTATTTATAAAATTTATCAAAGTTTGAGAAAATGAGTAGTTTTTTGACATTTGTTAAAATTAAAATTAGACGATTTACTTGGTATAACGATAGAGTATTTGGTCTTTATGAACATACTAAACAATTAAAGTCCTACAAAAAACTGGCTCAAATATAAAAATTATTAATTTTTGAAAATTTGCTTTTAAAAAATACTTCGAGGTATTCCACTCGGAATACATTTAATGACTCATAAATTAATTTATTTTTTAGGCGATTATTTAAATATATCGGGAAGTTCATGTAACTTGCCTCAAGGCAAAATCAAGGCAAAATACCAAACCAACTAGTTTGTATTACGCTCCGAAAAAGAAATCCAATAATTCATTGAAAATGAGTATTTATATTCAATTCTCCGAACTAAGTAAGTTTCTTTTTAATGTTCTCTATCAAATATAACAATATTTAAATCAAAGTAACAATATTTCTACTAATATACCATACAATAAGATTAAATAAGATTTTTTTTTATATTTCAAATTTTTTTTTATCCTTTGAATTTTTCTGAACATTTTGAACTTTTTTCAAAGCAATCGTGCTATCTAGCTGATTTAGAGTCGAAATATCAAAGCGGTACCCATATAATTGTACACAAAATTTGTACTTATTATTATAATCTTTATAAAATATGTGATAATACGATGTACAAATGTCTAATGATCATTTTTGACCGCCGGACCGCCATTCTTCTTTACTTTTTTTATTGGACCTCCGGAGACGCTGGGCCTTTTACCAGCTATTCATTTCGTCAATACAAGTAAAATGTTTCTTAATTTTCCATAGAGTAAGTTAAAGTAATCGCAAAAAAAAGCAAAAATGAAAATTTTCGAGTTAAAAAAGTTTCGAAAATAAAGACCCAGTCGCGGACTTACAGTCTATCGGATTGATATTTATAAATTGATATTTTGAGATCAGTACTTCCCGAACAATTCGTAATTGTGCTCTGCAATCGTTAAGTTAATAATAGAGACACAATAAGAAGAAATCAACATGGTGAAGGAGTTGGCTCGCTGACGTTCTAATGCCAAACTGCCTAGAATTGTCGGCCAGAGAACAAACACCTCCTAAATAAACTATGGCCAAGGAACGATTTTAAATATCTTTTGTATCGGCACAAAATTTATTGCTTTTGGCATCGATACCGGGTATGTTGTTCAAAAAGATTTATGGATATTTTGAAATCTGTGAACTATTAGCACGATGTTCGACAGCTCGGGTTGAAATAAAGCAAACTATTAGTATTTAATTTGCTTGAACAAAAATGGCTAGAACCTTTAGTGCATGTAATATGATAATCAAACTTTTTCGAAAGTAGAAAATAAGAACTTTTCATTTAATATATTTGTTATTTAAACGCACCTATATTTATGAACATAATAAGTGCGTTATATTTACACATTTGATATATAGAAAGCAGCCATTTCATCAATAATGTTAATAATTCTTCATTTAAAAGTTTCGACATATGATATAAATCACTCAGCAAAGCATATTAGGAGCAACAAAATACAAAAAATTAAAACATCTTTTATATGAATTTTAATTAATATTAAACAACAAAACATGACAAAGAAATAAAAATTATAACATACAATTTTTTGGAAAATTAATTATACTTAACCTATTATTAGCAAACAAAGCAAAAAAGTAATATTAAAAATGATATTATTAGCAAAAAAATTACATTTTTTTCTTCTGTTACGATTTTCTGAATGATGCTCAAATGATACCTAAATCAAGTGTTGAAACGTTTATAAATAATTTTCTTATATAACATAAGGCCTCCGATAAACGTTAAGCCACATACATAATACATTGTTTACTAATAATACATACGTTTCGACTTATATTCAAGTTTCCTTAATAATTGGTATTCAGATTTTAGACGAAAACAAACCTCAAGATAATACATCTAATTTGAACAAATATGAATTATATAAATAACCTATTGTTATAAGTTAATTGTATAAACATTTACTAAGATCCACTATATTTGTTCCATATCAACAAACAAATCACCTACAACGATCTGAACACTTGCACAGTTCACGCACTGATCAAAAAAACAGTAACTGGTACCATTCAAGAATTTTTTTTTTGTTATACTATTAATTATAAACGTCACACTATGACATTCAGTATTTATTTTAATGATTATATAACTATTTTTTGATTGGATGGTAACCCGGTAGTTGTCCAATCCAGTTGTGACTAATTTACTATATTCGAAGTTTTGTTGACATTTTTATTGTATATGAAGCTATACCCACGAGAAACGATTTTCACTTGAGGTAATATTCAAGATCTATTCCTCAAGTGGAAATTTGACATCAACGCTACCTGATGTTGGATTGGCTATTACTGGGATCGAACCGACGAACCTGGTAAGAGTTGGTACTAGCCCACTCTGAACTGATTACGCTACCGCTGGGACCAAGAATTAATGAACACTCAAATGTATAGAACAGGTTGCAAATCATATCCCAATTTTTTTTTTTTCTTGAAAAATAACCAATTTTTAAATGAGAAGACTTTAAATAAACTAATTAGCTCTGAATAATAATAATTAGAGGTAAATTTTAAATGGATGCAACACAGCACTATACTTAAAGTATTTGTGAACATTTTTATTATGTATGAACTATACCCACAAGAGGCGATATTTACTTGACGTTATATTTGAGATCTTTAACCTCAAGTAGAAATTTTCCATCAAAGTTGCCAGATGTCGGGTTTGGCTATGGTTTGTGCTAGCCCACGTCTGAACTGATTACGCCACCGCTAGGACCAAGAACTAATTAACACTCAAATGTATACGACCAATTATGAATAACGTCCCAACAAGAATATTTTAAAAAATACCAATTTCTAAACAAAAACAATTTCTAAATGAAAACTTTAAAATCAACCAATTAGCTCTATATAACTAATATTAGAGGTCCAATGATAAATTAGAGAAGACCCTTAAACGTGATGTCAATTAGCACACAAGCTCAAAGAATATTTTTGCAATTGCTGAATGTCTTTAATCAAGAAGGAAAAATATATAAAAATTATTTATTCTTTTTTCAGATGTGGACCACAACGGATATCTAAACAGGGACGATTTTCTGTGTACTGCCCTGAGATCAACGGTCAGGGCAGGTCTTGGTTCGGTCTCGTTATCCTCCCTGCAGGATGAGCAGAGGCTGATGCTCAGTCTTTGGGAAGAAATTGCCGACATAGCGGATCTCAACCAAGTAAGAAATGATACTAATCATTAATATGAAAAAAATGATAATAGTGACAGGCAGTTGGCAATTGTCAATGAGTAGTTTGCCTTAGTATACACGTCAGTAAAAAAATTAGAATGTTGATCTTATCAAGAAGATCATCATAGATTAACTACATTTGACACTTTAATATGACAATTGATTCAACAATTGATTTTAATCTATATTTAGTGTGTCCAAGAACTTAACGTTCAGTCGAAGGAATGATAGTATTGACTTAACCTTAGTCCTAAAAAAATTACATCACACTGTTTGGAATATATGAGCTTTTGAGTACAACCTAAGGCTTTGGTAAAAATATCATCATTTTTCGGTTATTGTTGATAAATTAATTAAAATTAACCACAATAATCAAAAATTGGTCACAATTTCAACAACTCTTTAGGTTGCTCTTAAAAGCTCATAACTTCCAAATAACGTGAGATAATTTTTTTCAAATTTTTTGCAGGACAGTTATGGTCAATACTATTGCCCCTAAGTTAAGTTCTGAGACACCCTGCACAGTCAATAATATTTGTGAATTGCGAAATGCAAAACATTAACAAAAAAATGTTATTAGAACATATAGCCAATATTTAATAATTATTATATTTATATCAATTTTATCAATGTTGAGAAATGTTTCTTCAATAATTTTTATAACATAACTAGTTAAAAAACTCTGTTAATAATCCTTATAAGAATAGTTCCTAAAATTTTTTGTATAACATGTCTTATGATGATTCATTCTTCCTTGAACTTGATATCTATTATACTAATGCATAAGAATAAATATTTTAGTTTGGATTATATAAAAGGTGTGCATATTAGTTCACCTTGAGTTCATTTGCTAAAGAATGCAAAAAAAATATTATTTATAGGATGGTATTATAACAGTTGAAGAATTCAAACAAGCAGTACAAGCCACATGTGTTGGTAAACATTATGAAGAATTTCCACAGGTAATAATAACAGATAATTGTTTGCTATTATTGCTTTTGAATTAACTATGTTGTTATGTATAATGTATATTATTTTCAGAGTTTTCAATTCCCCAAATTTTTTTCCCCAAAAATTTTTTTCCCAAAATGCTCACCTTATGTTTGTAGGAATTAATTTGAATTACAAGTATTTCCTACAAACATTAGGTGATCATTTTGTGAAAAAAATTTTGGGGGAAAAAACCATGAACTATACTTTCGAAAAAAATTTGGTGACAAAATTTTTTGTAAAAAAATTTTTTTGAAAAAAATTGTTGAAAAAAAAAATTTGGAGAAAGAATTAATTACAGCTATTAAAACTCGAAAAATATGGAATATTCTTTAAAAAAAGTCAC